CCAGGTTGCGTTGTTATGCACCCCTTCCACCCGCATTGTCATGCACCCTCTCACTCGTGTTGTCACGCACTTTTCACTTGCGTTGCTATATATGTATCTAACAATATTGTACCTGTTAAGTTCTCTTTCTTTTTCAGGCACGATATTGTATGTATGGTTCATTTGAGGCTGGCACGACCAGACGAATCGGACAGGAACGATATTGTATGTACGGTTCATTTGAAGCTGGCACGACCAGACGAACTGCATAGATATTGTATTCTTCGCGTCAAACGTAGTGAGAATTACATAATTCTCTTACATCCTTTCTGCATTGTAATGTAGTTTGATTTTTGGTTTGCTTAAAACTGTTGCATTTATTATATGTATTTGCTTTGTTACGACTCTCCTTACATGATCATAAGTTATGTTCGGCACCATGCATTGTTCTTGCATTTTGCCCCTGGGCATATATCTTGCTATCTTGCATGCTTGTCTAAGTCTTTGGCCTTGTCAAAAATGGCTCGTCTCTGCGCTTTGACATTCACTTCCGTCATTGTTATGACTTTCGAGTTCTGTCAAAGAGGGACAACTGTAGACACCCCATTTTTGACCGTCCTCAAGACTTGGACGTCATCGTTTGAACACTTGATGATCATCCATGTTCGTGTTCGTCTTGAGTTCTCGGAGGTTTTAGTTGCGCGCCTTGCCTCAAGACCTCTCGACTTATTTGCTTTGTACTTGGTTATATACCAAACACTTGTGTTTTTGCTTCTGAGGGCAGGGAATGGCATGTTGACCATCCCCACACCTCACCGGCCTTGGCTTGAGGCCACCGGCTCTGTTTTCTTGCTACCGGCCAAATATTTTGGTCGGTCGGCATTGTTTTTGGTCGGCCGGCCATTTTTGTTGGTCAATCAGCCATATTTTCCAGCCGACCCCTTTCCATCTGCTTTTGGCAGATATTTTATGCCAGCTGTCACAGCTGGTATCCACTTTACTCCCTCTCCATCCACGTGTATGGAGGGATTTGTTTCTTGCTTAGCTTGTTTTGGAAGCTTTGCAAGATGGAAATTCTATAAAGATGGAGCTTCTCCTCCCTCCTTAAGGGTTCCAGAGGTCAGAGAATTAGGTTTAGAAATAGTTGTATCTATATATCTCCATATCTCCCTCTTTTTACATATTTGTGTGTGTATAAGGTTGTTTTGTTCATATTTTTGCACACAAACACCTAGCATTACACCATCCTCTTGGAACTGAGATCCTTGGAGGTTGATTTTGGTGTTCTTGGGTTGCTTTGAACTCGAAAAACCTGCTGGACCATTGTTCTTGAAGAAGGTCTACAAGGGTTTGGTTAACCCTTGCATGCTCCATACACTTGCCATGCAATCCCATGAAATAGCCTAACATGCATCATGTTGTGACATGTCTTTTTTAACATGCTTTTGGCTTGACTTCAAGAAGATTTTATCCATGTTTTGGTATGCTTGAGGTCTGATTTGGTTGTCTTGGTCACCCATGACTTGTTTTGCATAACTTTGGTTCAATCTTGCTTGTAAGCTTTGTGTATTGAGTCATTTAGTGTGCATTACTTGGCCTATTTCAATGATTTGGCATCATTTGTAGTGTAATTTTAGTCCATGTTTCATGGTTATGCACATGCATTTATCACTCTTTAAATGCGTTTGAGAGTTGTGCTTGTATGCCTTATTTATGAACCATTGCATGAGCTTCATCTTTGTGCATTTCGAGCCACCATCCCAACACATTTTGGCCATTAATTTTGGCATGCTTAAGAGCTACCCATGTTAGTGTAAGTCCATCTCACCATGTTGTTGCATGCTTGTTTCATTTTGCATGTTGTTGCATGCTATACATGTCCACATGCTTAGGTTGTATGCCTATTGCATATTGCATGTTAACATGCTCATGTTGCATTAGATTTGTTGCATACTTGAGTTATTTGCATGCTTGCTTGCTTGCTTGCCTAGGTTGCATTGCACTGTGTGTGCATCCCTTGCCTCTTGATCAATCATGATAGAGGTTGAGGCCCTTTATGTGTTTTGTGCATTTCATTCCATATCGAGTTGCACACTTGGCTTCTTTGGCCATCATGCATTGAAATGCGTAATTGATCGTCCGAGGGTCGAGGACTACACTCCCTTGAGTTTTAAACATGATAGGAAGGGTGGTTGTGCATACATGGCTTTGAAAATGCATTGCCATGCTTTGTTTGTCCTCTGCTGCAACAAAACAGGATTCTGCAGGAAGAGATGGCCGGTCGGCCATCTTCAGTGCCGGGCGGCCATGTATTGTTGGCCGAGAGCTCCACTTATGGCCGATGACCATTTTCCAATGGCCGGTGGCCTTTCCTTTTGGCCGGTGACCTTCCACAGTACTCAGAAGGTGGTTTAGAAGCATCCTTGGGACTTGTACAGTCCTCAGAGGTGCAGAACGGTGTAAACAGAGGCAACATGTGGCATGGCAACAGGTTTCCGAGCGAGGCGAATCGAGCATGCATCGTCCCATCATTCCGAGGCAAGGCTGCGGCCACCTCTTTTTGTAATTAATTTGTTAATTAATTAGAATTTTGTAATATTTAATTAGTTAGAGTAGTTAGTTATTTATTTGGTTTGTATTATTTATTCGGACCCTCCGAGAGAGGGCAATGTTGTAATAAGTGTGCGTGAGTGTGTGCATGTCTTCTAACCCCTACTTCTTTCTCCCTTTTACTTACCTGCTTTCAATGGTTAGTTTTAGGGCACGTTTCAATTAGCATACTTATGATAGCATGTTTGCATCATTCATCTGTATTGCATGTATCGGACTCGGCGCATCATGCTAACTGCATTGTATTTCAATTCCAAGTTGAATACATGCATTGGATTGTCGCACCTCATATGCCATTCTTAGGATAGCCGAGCCTATCTTAGTTGCATTTTGCATGCGTTGCATTAGCCATCTTAACATGAATTAGGACCATGCATGATTACTAACTAGTTTCTTGTTTTGGCTCGGAGTACACTGTAAGTGTTTATTCTTTAGCATCTCGCATGAGTGTGAATGTTAACATGATAACATGCTTTTCATGAGGCTAATTGCTTAGGTGATATAACTGCTTGAATGCCTGTGAGTGAAAATTGGATTGCTTGAATTGGGATAATTCATTGAAATTCGTGTTTTAGCCTACTTACGAGTAGCAAACTTCAAATCATTTTCCAAACAAATGGATATACGATACTTTGTTCTAAATTAGGCGATCTAATCTATACTTGTTTTGCTGCGCGCATCACATAGTAATTCTAGCTAATTAATCGGAATAAGAACGCATGTGTTTTCAAAAACGAGATATCATGTTTAGTAGTGACCGATCTTTGATCGGGCGAGCGGGGGTGCTCATAGCTGACATTCCCCAATCGTACCCAAGTTCCCGAGCCGAGGCAACTTTGGAGATGACGGACATGTGGCCTTAGGCAACGAGCCAGGGTTTCCTAAATTTTCCCAAAATAAAACATTTAGGTGACGACTCTGTATCTGGCAAAGCAGTCCATGTTTGGCACTTCTTTCTAAAAATCTGTTTTTCAAAACGATTTGTCGGATTTGGACTCTTTGGTGATTTATTAATCTCACATCGCACATTGTGAGATCAGATTAAGAACCATGACAATTTGAGTCCGAACTATAGTGAGCCCAAATGAACAAAACGGGATTCCCTCCCGGGACGTTCGGGGACGTCTACAATACCCAAGTTCCCAAGCCGAGACAACTTTGGTAATGCTGGACACGTGGCCTTTGACATGAGTCAGGGTTTCCTAAATTTCCCAAAATAAAATATTTAGGTAGCGACTCTGTAATCTGGTAAAGCAGTCCATGTTTGACGCTTTTCATTCAAAATTGATTTTCCAAAACCAATTGCCAGATTTAGACTCTTTAGTGATTATCAGTCTCACATTGTACTTTGTGAGATTAGATTCAGAACCGTAACAGGAGTCCAAACTGTAGTAAGACCAATTCGCGCCTTCTCCGAAAGGAAGGCGCGCGAAGAAGGTCGGGTCTACACCTATAAATGGATTTGGATGGTGGAAATTAAATTGATGAAATGTGGGAAGTACATATATAAAATAAATCTAAGTCGATGTAAAATTTTGAATAATTTCTAAATTTTTGTGTGTGGTTTGTGTTTTGAAAAATATTTTTGAAAGAAAATCTCCAAAAACATGTTTGGTTATACATTTTTTCAAAATTTTTTGAAAATTACTCTCTTTATTACATATCAATTAATTACTTTTTCTCTCACATATATCTATTCAACTACAACAAAATATTATCATTCCAAACTTCTAAATTTTAAAACTATTTTCAAAATATACAATCAAACAAATTAAAAAAATTTCTAAACTCTTTCTCCAAATTTTTTTTAAAAATTTATCTCAAAATACAAATCAAATGCACCTAGGGGTGTAATTTTGGCCTGGCCCGGCCGTGCCCACGGGCCAGAAAAACTAGGCCCAGGCCCAAGGGTATTCGAGCTTTGGACAGGTCAGCGGGGTCGGGCCTTGGGCCTGGCCCCTAGGTTTGGGCTTGAGCTCAGGCTTTGAGCGGGCTTGGGCAGGTCTAAACAATTTTTAAATTTTTATTTTATATTTTCCATTAAAATTTTATTATTTTTCATTAAAAATAACACTGGGTCTCGGGTGGGCCAGGCAGATCGGGCCTTGAGCGGGCCGATGGACGGGGTTAAACGGGCCGAACTTCAAAACGATAGCCTAGGTCTAAGGCCTCGGACTGGGCTTAGGTTCGGGCCTAAACGGACCGGGGCCACCTCAGGCCACGGGCGAGCTTTAGGCCGCCCGTGGGCCATGGGCCAAAATTACATCCCTAAACGCAACCTGTATTTGAATCCGTAACAATACTGTTGTTTCAATTATTTATTAATCTTTCCATATTTATGTAAATTTTTTAAAAAATACAAAAAAATTAAATTAAAAAAAAAAAACAAAAAAAAAAACAGAAGGATCTGAAATTGGCGAATTGGCAATCAACCAAACCAATTGAAGTGGGTATTAGACATGGCCGCGTGATCCCGACCGAGGACCGGTGTTTCTCTCAACGTCCTTGGACTTCCCCCCTACTCTCTTCTCTGTCTCTGTGTCTGTAAACTCTCCGACTGTGATCTCCGATCAGGTATGCCTCCTTACTTCCACACCTCTCTCTCTGTCACTCACTCACATGTATGTACATATCTGTGATATATACAGAATCAGTTACCCACAACGGAATTCAACAAGTAGGATTGGTTCTTAGTGAAACCCTGGTGCAGATCGGTTGGATCTCTCTTCATCTATATTCGAAAGATTAGGGCTTTTATTTACTTAAATTTGTAGAATTTGCTTCCGGAAATGAGACTATTATGAAGCAATTTGATTTAAATTTGCAGAAATATATTTGGTAGGACGATGAATTTTCTGCTGCGGCCTGCTCAGACAGCAGCAGCAGCAGCAGCAGAGCAACCGTCTGTTTCTTCCGAGTATCAGACAGATGCCAACTATGTTTCAAGGAATGTAACAACGTTGGAAGGTCTTATAGCCGAAGATTCATTTTCGGAGAATTCGATGATGGGTGAAGATCATGGGGAAGGTGGTGCTGATGGAATTGGGGCTGAAAATGGAAGTGTAATGGGCTCGAGTTCCAAGGGTGATTCCTCCATTGTAGAGAATTACATTGATGTTGCTGAAGATGAAGGATGGATAACTATTCCATATAGTATTTCCTCACCATTTTTCTAAATTACGCTTTTTTCCTGGTTTTATCAAGTTATATTTTATGCAGCTTTACACATTTGCTTTTTAATCTAATACCATTTTGTAAAGTCTAGATTTTACAGCTTGTTTGGCAATTCAGGAGAGAGAAGAAAAGAAATGATTTGTTATGCTAAGAGAGAAAGGAAAGTACAGAAAAGATTGTGTTTTCTACCCCTTTTGCTTGGTTAGCTGGAGAGAAATGCAGAAAAAAAGAAAATATAGTGATTTCTCTCCTATTTTGTTTGGGTAACCTTTATATTTTTAAGTACTATGATTCTTCGTCCGAAAACAAAGTCAAATGGTTAATCTTTAAGTATATTGATTGTGGACATCAACCCATACCCTTACTGCCGCTTAATCCTCTTTCAATTGAATCAAATTCCCACCAAATACCAAGCAAACATTGAAACCTACCATTACTAAGCGTGAATAGGGAGTTGTATTGTAAACTAAGGAGTTTACTATCTAGTCTACTTGTATTAGAAGATTTATTTTTGTGGTTCAACTGGTAAATTTATATACTAAAATAATTTATAATTAAAATTGAGATTCAAACATGGGCCAGAGTCACCATTGCTGTTTAATCTGATTAGGAATACCATGTGAAGCTAGGGATTGCTTGTCTTATTATTCCTTACAAGTCACATTCAGTCAAAACCCATGATGGACTTTTGAAATATATGGATTTCAAGAGATTGAAATTTATGAATGGAGTAAATGAATGTAGTTTATCTTGTTTGAGCAAATCTCTTGAACCCTAAGGCCTTTTCTGATCCGTAGTTTTATCACAATTGATCATCTTAGTTCTTTACATTCTTGTAATTTTTATGGTTGGTTTCTATTGTTTGATAAACATATTGAAATGTACTTGTATAAAAAATCTTATCTAAATGTACTTATCAAAAAAGAACAAAAAGTCTGAATGACTTTTTGTTGGCTTTCACATAGCAAAGTAGTGCATTCTCTTTATAAAGTCCTATAATAAGCTTCTATGTGTTTTACTTATTTTTTCTATTGTACTTTAGAAATAGTTTCACCAAGGTCTTAGGAATTTTTTATGCATGAATTATTATTAATGCTTGATGCTTATTTTTTTAATTATTTTTTATTTAGAGAAACTTCCTGATAATTGGAGTGAAGCGTCAGATATACTTTCATTTCGTTCTCTGGACCGCTTCTTTGTTTTTCCTGGTAGGTTTTGCTTCTTGAATCTCTTGCTTTCTTAGGTTTTGACATGTAACAAGATTTCATGTTTGGGGATCCCTTTTTTTTTTCATGTGAGATCTGAATGCTTTTCTTATTCTAGGTGAACAAGTCCATGTCTTGGCATGCTTGTCTGCATATAAGCAGGATACAGAAATTATCACACCATTCAAAGTTGCTGAGGTAATGAGTAAAAATGGCATTGGAAAAAACACAAAGAAACAAAACGGAAACATTGGATATGAAACTGATACTGTTTCTGAAAGTGTGGAAGTGAGTCCAGATAGTCATGACGTAGATCAGAATGGTGAAAACATTTTAAAAGAGAAGATTGGTCCACAAAAGGATATTTCTGCTGGTGAATCTCTTCTTAGAATGGAAGATCACAAAAGACAAACTCAAAAATTGTTGCAAAGATTTGAGAATTCCCACTTCTTTGTTCGGATTTCAGAGTCAGATGAGCCACTTTGGTCTAAAAGAAGTTCTTCAGAACAATCTCTAGAATCTTCTGAGATGGTTGCTGAGATGTTCACTGCAGATAGTGCAGGAACTAGAAAAACTTCAAATAGCAGGGGCTCCCTAAATGCGGTGATTGATCGAGGAAGTTTTGATGCTAGTGTCTCTGGTGGATTGGCAAGAGATGCGGTTAAGTGTTGCTCTCTTTCTAATGGAGACATAATGGTATGTTTCAAAAAACTTGTAAGATGTTTTTACGTCATCTTTTGTTTCCTGTCTTCATAAAGATAAGAAAGATGCAAGCATAGATTCTTGTTACCCAATGCAAATTCCTGTGTTTATACTTAATTAATTGTATTCAAAATTTCTTTTTTATTATATGCCACATACCAATTTGGCATGGGAGCTGATCTTGTTGTAACTTTGAAGTTTTTATCTGATTTGTTGGACCATCCTATTCTTGGAGAAACCGAGTATTAGAAAAGGGAACAGGATGACTGATTAGTTTAGTCGTGGAATTTTTTATTATTACTTTATCTGCATCTTGAACATAAATTGTGTCTGAATTTTTTTGTTACCACTGACACCCTGGTCTTGATGACATTATCCATTGTTGGTCCCATGTCGATTCTTGAGTTTTTCACTAATATGTGATTAACGTTTTTAAGTGAAACTTATTACATTTAAGTAAAACCGTTGTGTTTGTAGTGTGGGAAACAGATGCAGGCATGTTGATGTAGGACTAGTAAGGAATTGCTCCCCTACTAGCAGCAAGCTCAAAATTAATACAAGGCAGCAGAGAAACTAGGTTTTTTGGGGCTCATTTTAATTGGTTTTTAAAGGTTGGATGGGTGGTAAAATATCGAGATTTTAGGGTCAAAGTGTGCAACAAAAGGATAGTCTTTTGAGAATAAAGACACGAGATTTTGGGACTATTTTGGGACTGTTCCAGAGACTGTAAACAGTACCCCGTAACAATAGCTGGGGTTGTTACTTGTTCTTTTGCAAATAGGGTGCTAAGGTTTACTGATCTGGTTATGTGGTTTTAGAGGCTGTAAAAGTGTAGAAAAATTATAAAAAAGAAGAAGAAGAAGAAAAAGGTCTAAGCATCACACCTAGAAGGCTATAATCCTATCGGCATCACTCCTAGGTTTTGATTGCACCAAACAATCTCAAAGAAGCTTCAAAGTAGTTTCTGAAAATTTTCCAAAACATCAACTATGTTATTAAATTAGAGCCATTACATGACTTTGTAGAGGCTATAGAGACTTCCTTCTCCAATTAGCAGTAAGAATTCTAAAAAAGAGACTTCCTTCACCAACTAGTAGTAAGATTTCTAAAAGGAAAACTATGAAGCTTTTAACTTCTAAACTTGTCTAAAACCATATACGACCTATAAATTACATGCAAGTATATAACTTGACCCATATGACTGGTAGATCACCAATTGTCCCAAAAATTTAAGTTGGTAAGAAATGAGCCCAACAATGTATATAAAGCACCTTGAACCTGGTCTTGCACTTGGAGATGTAAATATACATACATTGAGACAAACAAAATGTAACTGTGGAACAAATGCAAATGGAGAGACTTGAACCTAGGATCTTCCTCAACCTGAGTTGTGATACTATGTTAGACCACAATATGTTTCAAAAACTTAAGATGTTAGGAAATGGGCCTAACAATATATATCAAGCTATCCAACAATGACAACCTATTGGTGACCCTTACAACCTATGTCAGAAAATTCTGCAAAATATTTAATTTCCCTTCAATTATGAAATATTAGAAATATAAAGAACATATATGAAAATGACCAGATTAATATCTAACCTATATAACTATATAACAACACTGTAATAAGATTAAAAAAATTCATTACACACAATTTCCAATTGGTTGCACGTGGGTTCGACTTTAAACCAAGCAATTCCCAAATATCATCTCTTCTTTAGCTTTACTATTTCTTGACTTTCTTATGGCCTGCATCACATGTAGTTGGTTGTTGCATTTCAATTCTTTTTTCAATAACGCTATTGTTTTAGGCTTTCGTCAAAGAGGATGAAGACATGAAATCCACACTTCATTTATTGTTTGCCATTTTCACTGTTGCTTATTAACCACAAAATGGTGGAAAGTTATTTTACGTGTCTTTCTTGGTTGGAAATGGGAATTGGGTTGGGATGGTGTTAGCTGTGAATTCCGTTGGTTATAGATGATACATGAACTTATTAATGATTTCCTTGCAGTTGTGTTTTTGTTTAAATAAGGGCACAAGCCATATACAACTGACTTAGCTTGCCCATCTTGTTTTGGCAAGTGATCTTGTCAACTTTAGTTTGGAAGTTTAATTCCCATTAGTGGTGTGGGACCTAGGCTTTAGTGGACGAGGTTTTATGAGGCTATGTGGAGGTTTTCTACTAGCTTTAGTTGGAGTAACCTGATGAAAAAGGGGTGAGTAGCTCATTTCTATATAACCAAGCACAAGTGCTTAGACTTTAAGAGTTTGGGGTATTTTGGTGTGTTTATTTGCAGGCGGCGTTATCAAAATCTTACGATTTGCGATTTTTGCAAAATCGATACGAATCTGTGGCATAGATTGTATTTTTGCATTGTCCAATCGCTTTGAATTTATGGCATAGATGTTTTCTTTGGGAAATGTTATGTGGGTAGCCCCAAAAGGGAGTGCGCATATGCTTCTAGTTGATTTTCGCACATTTGGAGGATCAAAGAGAGCCAAAGTGTTGTGGTCTTGTGCCGTCATCGCAACTTTTTGGGTTCTATGGATGGTGAGAAATGCAAGGTTGTTTGAAGATAAGTTCCGGGAGGTGGGCTGTTTGTGGGATAATGTTTGTCACTTAACTTCCTTTTCAGTGTTAGGGAGCTCTTTATTTAAGGGAGTCTCATTTTTTTTGTTAGCTAGAGATTGGTTGGCGGTGTGTGATATGTAAGTTTTTGCTTGGGATTAGCTTGTTACGGGTTTCATTTTTTGTATTACCATTGTCCTTTTGTAAGAGGATGCCTCATCTTGGCTTGCTTTTTTGAATTATTAATAAAGTTTTTGTTGTTGATATAAAAAAAAAAAAAAAAAACTATTTTGAAAGTGAATCTCTAATGAATTGCACGATTCACAATCGATTTACTTTTTACGATTCATGCAATTTTTGAAATTATTATGTCTTGACATATTTTGACTATTTTTTTCTCTATCTTTTTAGTGAAAATGACATAATATAACTTCTAATAGCGTTTAATACCAAAATAACCAACATGTATAAAAGATTTGTTGTTATTTTAGTGATTATGGAGTTTTTAATAGGATCCAATCAAATTCAGTCAGACCTAACATATTTTTAACATCTCTTCTCATTTTTTTTTCTCTTTAAAAAATCATAATATATCTTTTAAAGATGTTTAATATTAAAGTTACACTATGAATTATTTATTGCTATTTTATTAAATCAAATATAATTGAATATTACATGTGTAAGGTCAGCTATACCTTTTAAAATGTTTTAGGCTTTAAAATAAAAGATTCTAGATGATTCTTTCTTATTATTTGCTCACTGTTACTTAGAAAAGTATGTATGCTTATTGTCCAAATATCAATATCGTTGTTAATTATTTTTACTTTAGAAATTGATAGTTTGTTTATTAGTTATTATCTTTATTAAGAATGGTTGATAAGAAATATCTAAAAAAGAAAAAAGGTAAGATGGTGATCCTACATAGGAACCTTTGTTAATTTCTTACCTATTAAACTACATGATTATCATTCAAAATAACATTTTCATTGATTTAAGTCTAAATATTTCATATTCGTAAGATATATTTAACATCTAAATGTGTAGATATATGTTTTTAAGTAATTTAAAAAAAGTGACCGAATCTTTACGATTCACGATTTGATTCAATTCGCGATTTGGTACGAGGCTATTTTGATTCACGATACGAATCCCGATTTGACAACTATATTTGCAGATAATGGATGGTGGTAATAGAGAATTGTGGCCTAACTTTTGTGAGTATAAGAGATTTGAGGGTAGGTGTGTTGGCTTAGGTTATGTGAATTGGAGATGGGATGAAATATGATATTGACACATCAATAGATAATGTATATATTTATCTACATATATGTTGTTAGAGGCCATAATGGAGGAAGTTGTCTTAAGTGAGAATGAATGTTTATCATGTCCTGCATGTTTATCAAGTTCTGCAGTCATTAGTTGCTATATGTTGTAAATCCTAGAGAATTTTGAGTTCTTAATGTTTATCATGACAGTTGGCCAGACGGCTAATAATTCTGATTCTATTTTCTTGTTTGGAAGAATGCAGGTACTTTTACAGGTAAATGTTGGTGTTGATTTCATGAGAGACCCCATTCTGGAAATTTTTCAGTTTGAGAAATATCAGGATCGAAATTTGACTAATGCGACCCAAGACTACTTAGTTCATAAAAATCAGGACCCTTGTGGAGAACTGTTGAGGTGGTTGCTCCCATTGGATAATTCTTTTCTCCCTCCATCTCGGCCTTTATCTCCTCCAACATTGAATTCCAATTCATCTATTCGTAGCTCATCAACAAAGGCAAACTTTTCTGCTTCATCTGGCTCTCAGCTCTTTTCTTTTAGTCACTTTAGAAGTTATTCCATGTCTTCACTTCCTCCAAATACTGCACCACCTCCACCTGTTCCAACCCCCAGTTCTAGACCAAATGTTGACCTAGAAGATTGGGATCAGTACTCTTCTCAGAAGTTTGTAAAGAGTAAAAAGCCTGGGAATGAAGGGCTTTTATCCTTCCGAGGCGTATCACTAGAGCCAGACAGGTTTTCTGTTCGATGCGGATTGGAAGGCATTTACATACCCGGAAGAAGGTGGAGGAGGAAAATTGAAATTATTCAACCTATAGAAATCCATTCTTTTGCAGCTGATTGCAATACAGATGACCTTCTTTGTGTGCAGATAAAGGTGAGGTTTATGATATTTTTGGAGTCAAGATTATGTAAATTTTTCTAAAAGCAGAATACTATATGAAAAATATTTAACAAGGTATTTATGGATGCAGTTGTGACATACTAGAGTTTGGTCTTTTATTATGCCGTAAATACTGAGGCAGTGATTTACTCTGTCCTTTTTTTTTTTTCTTTTTTCCTGGCAGAATGTCTCTCCTGCCCATGCACCAGATATTGTGGTATATTTGGATGCCATAACAATTGTTTTCGAGGAGGTGTCTAAAGGCGGAACACCTTTTTCATTACCAATTGCATGTATTGAAGCTGGGAATGGCCACAGCTTGCCAAATCTTGCCCTCAGGTTGTTGTCCATTCATGGAATCTTAGTTTATGTTTAATTTTTTTGAGGACCAGTTTTTACCCTGGCTATTCAACATGAAAGCTAATATTTGTTGTTTTATACATGATTTTGAGCCATGATATTATATGTTTTAATGAGACATCATGCCCTTTATTCTCATAAAATATTAGTTGTACTCTCGGATATTGCTTGTAGTGTTCTTTGACATAAATGATTTGCTTGTTTTATATCAGTTACAAACTTCCACTCATACAGTCAATGATCTCTAGGGTGTGGGAGAAGCTTATTCTTTGATTTGGAAGGTTGGTAATTTGAGAGTCCATTTGCTTCCAACAAATCATTTTTTAGACAGGTTGTGTGTTCCAACTAGTACCCCAATCTGTATAAGGTCACTTGAACCTGAACTCAACCTGCCTAACATATTAGTTCCTATTATTTATTTATTTGTTTAGAAATTTTAAATTTCTGTATAACATTTTTTTATTTCAAATACTTAATAGTATTATTGTTGAATCATATTAATTTTATAGGTAATGCTTGAATTAATATCTTTTTGTTTTTGGATAAAATGCATTAATATCTAAATTCAAATAAGTGATCAGTGGAGACTAATGTTGTCGAAGTTGTTCGTATTGTTATTATTATTTATGATGAAATAACATACCATGATTAATAGGGTTGATTTTTCATCAAAACAGGTCTAGCTGAACTGAACCTCAACCATTTCAAAGTAATTTGTAGACTTGACGGGTTGATGGCCAGCCTAAAAGTTTCCTGAAGTTCATTGCTGTCATAACCCGATTAACCATGTCAAATGCTTATTTATCTCGAAATATAATTTTGATACATTTAATTTTTTTAGGACAGACCATGTTACTTTGTGATAAGGTGAATGATTTGTTGATAGACTTAAAACCTTGGCAGTAACGACTCTTTGAGGTTTTCGATTGGAATAAAAACAGATAATAAAGTATAAGTAAAACACATCAAGAAGCTCCCATGAGATATTTAATTAATTGGAGCATTCAGAGTTGGACCCTGATCTCGACAAATTGAAACACAGAACACAAACGATACAATATGTTACCCTCATCTGTCTTCTTCTATCTACCAAAGACAATGCTCCAAGCATGATGAGCATGACGTTTAGCCATCTGGTGGAGTGCTGGAAAATCTTCAGTGTTCCCCTTGAAGTGGTGACTATATTCTCTTTTTAGGAGAATTGTTGAATAAGGGGGATGAAAAACAGGGTTCTTTAGAGGTCACACAATCCTTCTCAAAAACCAAATTGTTTCTAGAATTGTCGTTTGACATACATTATCTAGTCAATATAGTGATAGTAAGCACCAAAGGTCATAGACTAAGTTATGCAATTAAAATAGAAAACCAAATTGTGTTTAGGAAAGGCTGATGCTCAATTTATAAAAAAAAAAGGGTTATAAGGGGCTGATTTGATTAGATTCTGATTTTATTTTATTGTAAAACCAGTTGAGTTTGTGAATTTTTTAATGGGTTTGTTTTAGCAAGTGTGGTTTTTTTTTTTTTTTTTTTTTAACAAAGTAGTTTCATCCTGGTGTTAATTGGGGACCAAGTATGCTGAAATCTAAATTTGATGCAAATAACATATAAGGGAAAAAAGTTAGCTGTAAATTTGCGCACCTGGTGCCTTTTGTTAATAAAATTGACTCATTAAACAAAAATTTTATGGAATAAAGGATTTGGGGAAGTTTCTTGTTTGGAGAGAATAAAATTCAGGTTATATTCGCCCTTTGATTTCTTCTATTTCTTTTTCTCTGGTTGTTTTAGAGCACAAAGCTCATGGATTTGAGCTTATTTATGCTGGAAATAGCAGGTTTCTGACAAAATCAGATTCCGTGTGTGTTTTATCTTTGTTTATTTGGGTTCACTTCTGAATGTTGTTGGTTACATCGCTAAACAGCTACATCACCACATAGGAAGTCCAGTGAGTCTGTCAATTCTCTACATTGTTTAAACAAGGCTACTAAGTTGGTGTGTAGCCACAGGCCCTTTTTTTTTTTTGGGTTGTTAACTTGATATACATTATTGGACTCATTTCCTAATGACTTAAACTTTTGAGACCAGTGGTGATCTAGCATGATATTAGAGTTCAGGTTGGGGGAGGTTTTGAGTTCAAGTCTCTCCATTTGCATTTGTTTCCTGTTTGCATTCTGCATCTCTATATGTATATCTGTTTGCATCTCCATGTAGAAGATGGGGTTGCATGCAATGGAGGGTGTTGGATACATTGATATGCATTGTTGAACCCATTTCCTAACTGGTTATCTAACACTTTTTGCCTCTTTTGTTGTCTAGAATTGCATTTGCTATTGTACGTCTGTCTCAATCTAAAAGTGCTTGCATTCATTTTGAAACTTCATCTACTTCCTCAAGCCACTTGTTAAGTTAATTTCTTTTCTTTTTCTTTTTTGTTAAACAAGTTAATTTTCTTTATTACAAATAAACACGAGCACGTGCACATCTATGGATCTTTTGAGATTTTTTCATTCAATGTAGTGAGAGTAGAGAGATGGTAGAGGGAAAATGCTGGTAAGCAAAAATCTGGAGAGCAGAAGAGGCATAAAGAAAATAGATAATATGTAACCCTCCAACCACCTCAGGGGCATGATGGACTGAAATTCTTGGTTTGTCTCCTGGTGGAAAATGTTGCTATATGAGTGTGATTATGTATGTCAACAATGACCTGAGGAAAACGGGGGTTTTGATGGAGGTTGCCTGGACACGTTTCCAGACATTTGTTTGAGCCTTTGCAGGAGAATATCTTCTTTGCTCTTTCATTGGCTTTTCTATTAGGACGAGATGTAGTCTCTCTCCTCTCAACTCTCAGGAGACGATTAAAGCTTTGCTAAAACTCTGTCAGTCCTCACATTGGGAGCTTAGGCTTCAAAGGTCAAAGAAGCTAAGTGACGCAAATATTTTGCATTAGTCCTTGTTCAAATCATGTGGTGGACAAGGGGTTGTAGTGTCAAGTCTAATTTTGAAGCTTTGTCAATTTATTTTTCTTATCTTTTTTACTGTTTGTGTAATCTTTTAAACCTATGTTCTTCGTCTTATTCTTCTAGATTCAATTCCTTTTTTACATCATGCGCAGTTTGCGTTGACACACCAGAAAACATTGGGGAACTTGAATCAGCTTATCTACTTAAGTTTCCATGGAGTCTTTTTCCGTATACTATATGTCCAGTATTCTGCTTTCTGTCCTGTATCTTTTTTTTTGCTTATTTTAAGTGTGGTTGTGGACACTGTGCTTGCTGTTACCAATTCAATATTTTGTGGTTTTGAATTCTGTGCATTACTTAAATCCTGACATTGAGTATACTGTTTCAAATTAAGTGAAAGCCATGTGATTAAACTTGAAAGTAAATCAGAAATATTATTGGTGGCATGCATTAAAATTATATGGTCATAGGTGGAACCTATGTTACCTACAACTCAGATCATTCTAGTATGACGAACGGGAACAGGTCTGGTACGATAGGAGTAGGTTTGTATAAATATGAGAATTACTTTATTTTAAGAAATTAGATATCCAATAAAATATAGCTTATTCTTCTTCAACTTAGTCAGGTAAGAACAAATTTCGTAGAGCATTATGGCTCATCTTTTACAGTCTCTCCAGATTTTGGTTTATTATTTTTTATTTTTTTTCCTCATAAGGAAAATTTTAAGGAAATAATTCTGATTTTTGATTTTTGGATGGCTTTGGGTTGTTAAATTTATCATTTTAGAATGAAAGTGTGTTATGTTTCAGAATGTGTATTCCAAACTGTAAATAGTTTGCGTATTAGCATATTCTGGTAAAACCATGAAACTTTTTTTTTTCTCTCTAGTTAAGGGGATATCAATTTTGGACATCATATGCAAAAATATTTTTTCTTAGAGTTAAGATCCATCTAAAAATTTGTCAACAGCAAGGAGAGAAGAGAAGACTGGGGAAGGTTTTAGGTTTTAGTTTTACATTTAACCATAAAGATGGAGTAAAAGAACGTTTCTTTCCTATCCTTTCATCCATCCAACCTTGTCCTTCCTTTCAGTTATCCATTCCTAGCAAACCAAGCATGAATTAGAGACAATTTTTTGTTGTGAGATTTATTATTGTTTAGTGCATAAGATGTAGTACATATATGTGTGTGTGTGTGTGTGTATATTTAGTTGCATATACACAACAGCAAAGGAGGGAATAATGTATCTGCTAGTTGGAGTGATTGCTTTGTAAGTTGAAAGAAGGGCTCAAGGTTTTGAGTCCATGGTTGCTGCTTGTCCTCAATAGTGTCTTTTTATGTCTCATGACAGGAGAGGTGAAGAACACTCTTTTATTCTCAAACCAGCAACCTCAATGTTGAAGAATACAAAGGTTCACGGAGAAAGAAGTTCTCAGTCATTGCATTCGCAGGCTGGATCAAGTCTGTGTATTCCGACCAATTCCTCTGCTGATCAGTATGCTGTTCTAGTATCATGTCGCTGCAACTATACTGGTATTTATATTGCTTTTTGTTTGCTGTGTTCTTGGGAATGCCTGATGGAGTTGATTGATTTTATTCTAACTGCATTTTTCCTCTCACCAATGCATCATGTGTAGAATCAAAATTGTTCTTCAAGCAGAGAACAAGCTGGCGACCACGCATTTCAAGGCATCTTATGATCTCTGTTGCATCTGAAATGTCAAGCCAAAATCCTAGTCCGAATGGAAGAGTCCCTCAGCTGCCTGTTCAGGTTACTTGTGACTCTTGAGTAAGGTTTTTGACTAGTACTAAATAAGTTTGCCCTAACTGGTTCAAATTGTCAGGTGTTAACTCTTCAGGCTTCCAATTTAATGTCTGAAGATCTAACATTAACAGTACTTGCTCCAGCGTCATTTACTTCACCTCCCTCTGTGTTGTCCTTGAATTCTGCTCCCTCGACACCAATGAGCCCATTTGTTGGTCATTTTGAGTCCTCAGGAAAAGGGAGTGGTGAAAGACGAATTTCTTCAATGCTGAATGTGAGCTCAGCATCTCTTGCTTCAGAAAACCAGAGACAGAGTGGAGATGGTGGACCTCGAACTGCTGCCTTCAATGAGCAAGCCATTCCCATCTCTGATGTCCTTCCAAGTACTGATTTGGGTTGTACACATTTATGGTTGCAAAGTAGAGTTCCACTGGGGTAAAGCATTACTCCCTTCCTTTTCTTATTGATTTTAGTTTGAGATACACTGGTGATTATATTTTATTGTGATTGCATTAGATGTGTTCCTTCTCAATCCACGGCTACTGTCAAGCTCGAACTTCTACCATTGACTGATGGGATTATTACACTTGATTCTTTACAGATTGATGTTAAGGAGAAAGGTATTCTTCTGCTTATGTCTTAATTAATTTCTTGTTACCTGTATGTTTTTATTGTTTCCACAATGGCTTTATTCTGCTAGATTAGAAACTGTTAGTGGGTGGTAAGTGTAATGCTATCCTCTTGCAATAGGCAACCCACCCCACATGCACAAAAAGAGAAAAAAAGAGAGAAAAGAAATGTGAAAGCAAAAGAAAATTAGATAATAGAGATTCATCACTTGGGTGGCAAATTGCCTACATGGCTAACATCAAAGATGATATGGGAGAGCCATTTTAGTATCATCCTCTCCTCATGCCCCTTAAAGAACCATTGTTAACATGTTTTTGGATGTATTATGGGCCATGCTATTACAATTTAGGTTGAAATGAAAGAATGATGTTGAAAATTGTAATAATTAAACTTTTGGCAAAAGGAACATCTCTACCTGCCCAAGTTAGCATTTACAAGCTTTTTGGGTTGCCGGCATCTTCTTAGCGCAACTGGTTAACAATTCTTTCAGAATCACCCCCTTCCAAAAAGAGGAAAAGAAATAAAAAATTCAGTTTCCTATATATAGCTCCATGTAAGCCCTACATTTCCGACTTGCTTGTTTGGTATCTCTTCTGTGAATTCAATTCATCTTCCCTCAATTTCTTTTATTCCGTAGTGTAGTGCTCTTTTCTTTCTTTGTATAATCTAGCCTCTAATGGTCTCCACCACGCCAAGTTCATTGTGTGTCATGCCAAATTGCAAGTTGCCTTTGTTGCAACTTTAGCTTACTGGTAGAATGTCCCCATGACGTTCTACGAAAAGTTTCGCCTCTTTTGGATTATAAGAATATTGCTATATTGAGTAAAATTGCATGAAATTATGTGAATTTTGTCTTCACTTATCTCTTTTTCATCTGCTTTGTGGGCTTTTTATCAAGCCTTATTGAATATGATGATAACAGACCTGATATTGTAGCTGCCGGTGTCTGAATAATGGCAAATCAGCTTATATATCATTTCCTAACCAACTGATTGTCATCCCCAAAATAGTCTTAGCCTCATTTTCTATTGACATGTCTATCTCCTTTTTTAACCTTTTTATTTTTATTTATATATCACTTTTGGTAGCTATTGATGAGACTAGTCACCTATGAAGCATGGGTCCTTCGAAAAATATGCCGTACTCGTACCGGGTACTTACCGGCGTACCGTACCTCGTATGGTACTTTTGCATACGTACCGGGTACACGAAACACGTACTCAAGTTTTTTTTTCTTAATTTTTGACGTACCTAGTATATATCCAAGCCGTACCGTACCTCAGTTGAAACAATATTTTCCTTCTACTACAGAGATAAAACTCATTTCACTAGATTTCTTTTTTAGTTTTTGTTTTATACTTAGTATGATTTTAAAATTAAACTATGGTTTGTAAGTTGTTTAATATATTGATATTTGATTTTGATTTATACTTTTCCTTTTGGCATTAAATGTTAATTATTGGTTGGACCTTAACAAATTAAACCATTTGATTATTTTTTGCATTACTTTAAATTAAAAATAAATATTTTTTTACAAGCGTATCAAGCCGTACCCATACCCTTACCCTATTTTTTTTGAATTTTACCGTATCGACGTACCCGTATCGTAACAGTACCAGTACCAGCACTCGTACCCGTACCTGTGCTTCATAGCTAGCTACCAATGCACACATGGTTCTTGGGCTTTCCTGGAGACCATCTAGAAGGTTGTTGCATTGAGAGCTTAATATTTCATTCCCATAAAGCTTCTAGGAGAAGTCGGATATGTTTGTGATATTCCCCTTTGTGATGGACTTGATGGTGAATTTCGATTTGACAAGTTATAATTCTAATCATATGATGAAATGATCAATCATGTAGTGGATTAGTGCAATCATGCAGTTGTTGATATCACAAGGTCTCACAATCAGCAGTGGACTCAGAAATTTTCTTCAATGGGGTCAATGAATAATCAATCAATTTGGTCTGCTGTTTTTTTTTTTTTTTTGTTTTTTTGAATAACTGAACAACTTAGCCCCAATCCCAATTCTGATCCCTGGAATCGATGACCCATTCCTTCGGACTAAAATTCTTTCCACCAGAAAATGGGCTTTATTCACTATATTTCTCTCTAAACCACGAGACCTCCAAAACTATTGCTGAAAACCCTCGACACCCTCAACACCCCTTTGCTTCACAAGAAAATTGGAAGACCAAACAACCTATTCCGTTCTTCCCTCTGGCCTGAGAAAGCTTTGATATAGTTTGCCGGACGCTCTGGTCTTTCTTCTTGGATGGAAACAAGAACAAATGAAATGCCCCGCTAAGGTCAAAGGCCTGGACTTTGGCTGACACTCCCCACTTATACCCATCTCTGCATCTTTCTCCTATCTGGTGTGATATATGGAATTGGGTACAGGTATCTAGTGTGGGTATGCATCTTGTGTTGGATTCATGTAGTTCTCATGTGGTACTGGGGACACAACAAAATATTCATATTTCTTAATACACTTATTTGATTTTCTAGGGTAAAATGGTGCATATAAGATGTCATATAACAATTTGTTTTGGGTGAAAGATTTTGCATTAAAACAAAAGCAACAGCTACAAAGAAAGCATACCCTGGAAAAACAAAAGCACAAAAGCTGAGGGAGAAAACAAACTTCCACCCTCTAACCAAAACAAAAACTAGCCAAACAACAGTAGTATGCACAAGAAGTGACTGAAAATCCTAGAAGAGATGCGCCAATTATCACACTCTTCCAGCACTAGGACAGAGTTCACATTCCTTAATAAGCTAAGCTTAGCTCATATCACCCACTAGCCCATCCAAAACCACATGAACAAGTAAGTCTATCTTAATGAATATTCTGCTATTGCTTTTCTTCTACACATGATACATAGTAACCAGCAAAGGCCAACCTGTAAACATAAGCTGTAATAGCCTTACCTCCACAATTTCCAGCAGCCCAACTAGGTGTCATAGAACATTCATGCATAGTAATATGTTAAACTTGAATTGCTAGAAACAGTTGTTGCATTTGCTTTTGGTGGTCAATTGTCAGATGTAAATGGCAAGAGATTGAATCTGAAAAATTCGATGTTTTTACTGATAAATACTTTCTGGCTTAACAGGCATGACTTATATCCCTGAGCACTCACTGAAGATAAATGCAACGTCCAGCATTGCCACTGGGATTATGTAGGAAGGTTATTTGCAAGTTCCATTTCTTTGGCTTCTCTCCTCTAGCAGGGAAAGATAAATCAAATTGCTTCTTCTTATATAGTATTGCAACAAGTAAATGGCACACTATTTTAAAATGTGAATCGAGGTATACGCCTTTTCTCCCTTCCTGAGCAGCGTGCAATTTATCATTGTCAATTTGTTTCAATAGAAAACCTTATAGCTGGTTTTTGCAACACATGATCTGGGGATTGTATTTGTTGTATGCCCTTTGAACTGGAAAATCAAAATGTGTACCGTTTGTTAGATGAATTGTGTCCAATATCATGCTCCACTTTTCAAATCTCTCTCTCTCTCTCTCTCTCTCTATATATATATATATATATACACACACATATATCAGCCTCTGTGATACACAGGCATTAATGACATTGGAGGTGTTAAAAAAAATCGGTTAAATTGTGAATTGATTTGAACTGGTCAAAACTATATGGTTTGGTCCGGCTTTTTAAGAGAACGGTTTGGTACTAGTTTCAAAAAATTAAGTACTTTCAATTATGATCCTGTTGACAAATTAAGGCCCCAATCAATGATACAAATAAAATGGGACCGAACTATTTGATATGTTTATCAATTTTATTATATGTGTAGTGTTCTATAAGGTACCTTCTTATTAACTTCTCAAAACTTGAATCTCATTCCTATGTTGATGAGGCCTTCATTCATTCTATGGACAAATTATTATTATTATAATTTTGGTATAAAAATATGTATAGCTTTCTTTTCCCACTAGGCACATAATTTTTCCACTTCTTATATTATTGAAAATTACAATTTTATAGTAATTATTATGATATATGAAAATTTGTTTGTCTTTACATATTTTATAATAGTTAATTTAGAGAATATTTTAAAATTCTGAAGTATGCTTATATAGTTTTTTGAATACTTGCATAGGTAGAATTAATTTTTATTGAACTATAGTCTAGATATAGTGAAGGATATTCTGACTTTAGAACCATGTAATCAAATTGAAACTAAATTATGTTTTATGGTTCGGTTTTAATTTGAACCAAAATTTTATGATTCGGTTTGGTTCCTAAATTTTCAGAACCGTAGGGATCAGTTTAGTTTTTTATTTATCTTATAGCTGAACTAAGGCCTCGTTTGGGAATAAACTAATTTAGTAACTTTTTGGCTATTTGGCTAAAATATGAGCAAAAAAAAACTAGTATGCTTGAGATAATTTTTTGGCTTTTTATGAAAGGATGTGCAAAAGTAGAGAGAAAAGAGAATCTTTGACTTTTTAGTATGGATTGTTGGTTTTTTGACTAATTTAGTAATTTTTTGACTAAAATGGAGAGTTCCCAAACGAGACCTAAAGCAGCTAAAATTTGATTACTATACTAGTGTTTTTTATTATATTTTCCTTCTATTATGACAGTCTTCATAGTATTACCAATTCTAGTTGATTTAATTTTAATGTGTGATACCAAACATTGGGTTGGTGACATTCTAAACTGGGTGTGAAATGGATCGGATTGAGTGGTTATAACTCTTTTTCAGTTGATCTAGTCTAAGTATATATAAATTAATTTTAGATTTTTTTAAAAAAAAATTATATCTAATTTTAGTCATTTGGATACAAACTTAATCTTTAACATTATTTATATAAAGTGACTATTCTCAAATTTAAAAAAACGTCATCGTAATCATAATAATAATAATAATCAAATTGATAGATCAACTTTTAATCACAAAGCTAATGTCCCACTTTAGGAATTTTCAATTCATCTTCCAATGAGAGAGAATGGAAAAAGGGAGATGGAGGATTGAAGTAAAGAACCATTGTCCAATTATTTAAGGTAGTGTTTAGTAAAAAGAGAAAACAAAAAAACAGTAAAATGTATGATTTTTTATTCGTGTATTAAAAAAAATTAGAAAAAAATAATGTACGGGGAGCAAATATTCCGGCAAGCTCGTATTCCTTTCTTTCAAGCTCTTGCCTGTCCGATCGATCTGTAAGCACAATGGCGGTGAGCTACCCGGTGGTGTGTGGCCGGAATACCCCTCCGACGATCAAGTTAGACACACACACGATAGAGAGAGAGAGAGAGAGAGAGAGAAAGGATTGAGTGTATAATATAAGTCTCACCAAATGTTCATCTGTCCAGGCATGGGGGGCGCAGACTCGCTTATATACCTTCTGCGCCCCAAATATACTCCCATTAGTCTCTCGACACGTGGTGCTGCTATCCCATCTGTCAGTACAAATCCAGCAATCACCACCTAACCAAACTGTTAGGATACCTCGGCGGCGCTCGGCAGACCGGTGGAACCTCCTCGGTTTCTTCTTACCGTGCTGCGCAGCATACCTTAATGAACCATTTGCCGAGCTCCTGTACAACCGAACTCGGCTGCATTCCGGCAAGCCGAGCTCGAGGTAGGTCGAGCCGGTTAGCCGTCGGTCTTCCTGCCGAGCTAATGCATGAACCGTGGAACCCATGGAGACAGGCAGACATCTCGGCCGAACTCCTAGTAGACCGGCTTCCGCACCAACAAGCCAAGTAGCTCGGTTCCACATGCTTTGTGCCTTAATCAAGCAAAACCTTTTCGGACAGGCCCAAGCTACCACGGTCCAATTGTGTTCGGCCCACAATTTGCCCGGCCTTTACCACGGCCCACTTCAGCTCATAAATCTCCCTCTCAATATATAAATATAAATTTATATATGTTATTGTATTCATATATTGTCAATCTGTAATACTATATTACCATCAGATACTTTAATTTTCTAACATCGCTTTAGTAATATAGTTATATTTCACTCTCTCTCTATATTGTGCTCAATAGTGTCTCAAAGTGTGTTTTCTCTTCACTTTTGCACTACAACACCTAGTAAAGCACCATCACTTTATTGCTGAGGTACTTGAGGGTCTTGTTTGGACTCAAAAGGCTGGTTTTGGCTCAACGGAAGGCCTTCTTTGCTGCTGTTCTTCAAGGGTGAGTGTATTCCCCTTTCAAGCTTATCTTTGTATGCCATCTTAGCCACCTTTGCATGCTGTTTTAGGCTTGGCTTTCAACTACAAAAAGCTTTATTTTTAAGTGTTTAAAATGATTGTTTTAGGCCTTGTGGGAGTTGGGGGTATTTCACCCCCTTGTATGCCTTATTTGTTAAGCTTTGGAGCCATTCCTTGAAGCTTTTGTAGTGGCCTTTACATGGCCTTTCTACCATTGAAACTCAGAGGAATTTCAGTAGTGGAAAGGTGTTTTTGAGGTCCAAAATGAGAGGGGGTGATCCCCTCTCCTCTTGTCTTTCTTCTTTGCCTTGGCTTCATACTTGAGCATGTTTTTCTACTTCTTTTAAGCTGAGTCCAAGCATGTTTTTATGACTTTTTGGACCTGTCATAACTTTTTTTTTGGTTGATTTGGTCATTGGTTGCTTGCTTTTGGTACTTGTAGTGCAATCATGCTTTTTGGCCTAACATGCTTCATGCTTTAGTTCATCATTCTAGCACGTGTTAGCTTTGCTCCAGCACATTTTTGCAACTAATTTAACATGCTTGAGGTTTGTTTTAGGTGGTCTTGGTCATATATGCTTAGCTTTGTATAACTATAGTGTAGTTGGGCTTCACTAGCTTTGTGTTTGAGGTCCCTAGCATGCTTTGAATGTGATGATTGCATGCTTTAGTGTCATTTCTTACAAGATTTTAGTGCGTATAGTGTAGTCACACTCTCACATGTTCCACTCTTTCAATGATTTTGAGAGATGTGCCTTATGCCTTGTTTGTAAGCCAACACGAATGCATGTTTGTCTAAGCTTTTGGGCCATCATTTCAGCATATTTTGGCCTTTGATTTGGCATGATTGAGCTCTGTCTAGAGCTGATTCGGTTGTCTAGGCCATGTATTGCATGCTTATTGTATAGTGCTCTTTACTAGCCTTATGTTTTAGGGCCTTTTGCATGCTATACTTGTGATGTTTTCATGATATGGCATCATTTAAATACATAATTTTAGAGCATATAGCCTTGTTATACTCTCATGTTTATCACTCTTTAATTGTGTTTGGGAGTTGAGCATTGTGCCTTGTTTGTGGCCTAACATGTATGCATGTTTGTCTAGTCCTTTGAGCTTCATTTCTAGCATGCTTAGGCCTTTGTTTTGGCATGCATGAGGTCTGTTTGGGGCTGGTTTAGTCCATTGAGCATTGTATTGCATGCCTCTTGCCTATTGCACTTCACTAGTATTGATGCCTTAGCCTTTAAACATGCCATGCATGCATTGCTTGTATGATAGAGTCTCATGCATGCCATCTTAACATGTCAAGATTAGCATGATAGTTTGCATAACATGTTGTTTGTGTGCATTGCATCGTGTTCAACCGGGCGCTACGTTGAACACAAGGCGGATTAGCCCACTTCATACTCAAAGTGATGAAAGTAAGCCAATCCCCTTCGTCTCCATTGCCTTTGATCACTCACGATAAGGCCGTGGTCTTAGTGTCTTGTTTGTTGTGCATTCATTGAATTTGTACAAGTTGGATCCTTGGCCATCATGCATTGAGATGCTTGATTGATGGTCTTGGATCCAATGATGCTTCTCCTTTGATGTTTTGAAGTGATATGGAGTGGCATAGTACGTACACACCCTTGGGAGACTCTCCATTTCCTCTATTTTTGTACTCTGTTGTAGAATGGTCTCACAGCATACCAGTGGTTGGCAGTGCCACATTGGTGGCCGGCACCCTTCCTTTGTTGGCCGACAGTGCCCACTCTTGGCTAGCAGGTGGCCGGCAGCCACCTCTCATGGCCGGCAGGCCACTGGTGCAGTCTCTAGCAATGATTTGGTAAGTTTCAGCAGCAAGTTCTCAAGAACACCCTGCAAACAGAGCCTCAAGAGAGCAATCGGAGAGCTTTTCGGGACGGAAACCGAGTATGCATCCTCTTCTTCCTCGAACAGAGCTGGAGAAACTTAGTTTTTATGCTTACTTGTTAGTTAGCATTTCAATTTGTAATTTAATTAATTTGTTAATTAATTAAGTGTTGTAATAATTAAGTAGCTTAGTTTAGCTATTTCTTTATTGTTTTGTAATAATTACTCTAATTAGTTTAATTAGATTAGTTAATTAGCTTAGCTTAGTATAGCTTAGCTTATTTATTCGGACCCTCCATCGAGAGGGCAAATGTTGTAATAAGGGTGCGTATGTGTGTGCATATCTTCCAACTCCCATTTCTTTCTCCCTTTTACTTATCAGCTTTTGATGGTTAATTTAGGGTCATTTTAAATTAGCATACCTTATGCTTGCATGCGTGCATCATTCATTTATCTTGCATGCACCGGGCT